TATTCTGCCTCCTATGGTGGTCTATGAGCTGCTACAGTTGTGATCTATTAGAATCCTCATGTACTTCTTGCAAAGGAAAGTGTATGGATTACCATGCAAATAGAAATTCCTACGGATGTTGTTTCCTGAACCAAAGTAGATGGGTCTTATGATTGAGAATTATGTCTTGAATAATGTTTGAAACATCATTTCAGTTGACCATATCTTCAAAAAAATAAAGATGTGTATCCATGGGAGATAATTTGGAGTTCATGGTATGGAGTTTGTTACCTACTAGTTGGATCAGAAGTGGATTATCTATTCATTATGAAGTATGGTCAATACTTTATGGATTCTGATTATCTGTGTGTAGATGGTTGGTTCTGCTGGAAGTATCTCTAGAAAAGATTGTTTCAGATTGAATCTTAAGAAGGAAACAGGCTGAGGAGGTATTCTTCTTCATTTGGTGAAGGGGTTTGATGACTTCCAAGTGTGGATGATATCTTGGTTAAACAAGGAGTTAAAGAATGTGTATGTCTCTTTCGGGGATGTGAGCATTCCAGGCTTGATTGGATTTATTCTCAAATAACAAGTTTTTCTATGGTTGTAAGGTTCAAGATGGATTTGTACAGTGCGTGGATGTGTTTAGGGGGAGAGTGATCAATGGTTTTTTTAATCTCAATCCAAGAGTTTATTGGTCTGGTACAAGATTTGTGCTCTTATTTTGTTTCTTTCTCTAATGAGCATGAAGGTGTTCATCCGAATCATGTAAGTTTGTGATGTAAAACTAAATGTCTTAACATCTTGGTGTGTTGATACTTTAGCCTAGTAAGTTCTGATTGTGAGCTTGACTTGTTAAGGTTTTGAATTATTTCAACTATGTTCATGTTTCTTAGAAGAGACCTGAGAAACAAGATTGGTTTTTGTCTAGGAGAATTTATTTTTCTTTGCAGTTTGGAATAAGGTCCATATAAGCTTTTGTTGTGAAATGGGAGATGTCACACACACTGTCTTTACATCATGGTTATGGCCTTCCAATTCTAGATGAAATGAGTATGCTTGGAGTTCATAGGCCTCAAAAGTTTCAAGAGAGAGTAAATAAAAACTGACTGGATGTCAGGACATTGTTTAAGACTCATGGCTCTATGTGGATAGTGTAACTTGGGCGGTGTAAGCGTGCCTTAAAGAAGGCGTGCAAAACATGTTTCCTAGATACATGCATAGTCTTTGGACGCTTCTCATTAAAGAAGAAATAGTCAAATCTGAGTTGGCTGGTGCACACCCATTTATGCTGAAGTTTCCTTTCTCAATTTACTCTTTCATTGAATTGTCCTTTCAGTTATATCAATGGAACACTAATTCCTAAGGAAACTGCTCGGGTACTTAAAGGGGGTATTTGCTTCTTTTGTCTCAGGTCGTGTTTCTGTTGTTGTGTCGAACTTTTATGGCTTTTGTCCGAGTTTGGGTGAGTATCATTTGGGTATGGACCTGTGTTGGGCACCTTTGTCAATTTTTGGCTAAAAAGGGGGAGATAGATACAGGTTGTGTATCTATACCAGTTGTGTGTTACACCTTACAACACATAACTGATCTCTTGTTAGGGTTTGAGTATGTTCTTGCAGCTGTTTTGCAAGGATGTTGGACATGATGCTCTAACATCATGTATGTGAATCAGTTCGTATTGTTCTGAGTATTCTCTTTGTGTCTTGTGATCTTAGTTATGAACATAGTTGTGTCTTATGTTCTAAGTTATCCGGAGTTGGGGTCAGGTCCACTGAGCCCTGATCTGGATAATGGAGAATGGTATATTGGGAATGGTTTTGAGGGGGAATGTCTGGTATCTTCTACCTCATGTACACCAGGATTCAGGATACACGTCGTACAACAGGTGGTGTATGTTGTACAGGAAGAATGAAAGCTTTTAGGAGGCTCATTATTTTATGCTAGACTCGTCACAGGCTGGCTGAAATGACTTCAGGACTTTCTACTCTTCTTCTCCTTACTTCCTGAGTTTATTGTGCAAAAGGAGTTTTAGCCAAAATTTATCAAAAGGGGGATATTGAAGACTCTAGATTTGAGAAAATTTTGGTAAAACATGATGTTGCATAAGATGTTCTATACTAGAAGAAATATGTAAAGAACAACATGTCAGACAAGATGTCCTAGCTTGTGGACTCGACATCTTGGTTTGATACTGGAGGTTTGTTGCAAACCTGTTCCAAATTTTAAGTTGTAATCAGAATGTGGATCAAGGAAAGATTGGACAGAGACTTTAAAGCCCATGGTCTGCTGAAGGCTATAAAAGGATGACCAAAACCTAGAGCAAAATAAGAATTCTTGTAAGTTAATTATAAGGGTTTAGGATTTTGAGAGTCGAGTGTCTTTCTTGTATTGTAAGTCACTCTTTATATCAATTGATACATTGTTGTAGACATAGTTTTACACATTCAGAAACCTGTATGTAATGAATTCTATATTGTTCTTGGATGAAGCTTTTAAGCAAATCCAAATATTAGTGTTAGTCAAGAGTCTTGACTGAATATTGTATTGAAAGTGTGCATTTGAATTGAACAGTTTGATACAATCACCGAAGATTGTGACTGTTAGATATCACTGAGGTGATTTAGGAATTGAGATGGGTTTCTCTTATCTAGATGGTGATTTCTAAGTAGAAGTTGCACTGGGTAGGAATTAAGTGAGAAGTTGTAAACTGGAGGTTGTTTAGATCTAAATTAATACTATTGATAGTGAATTCATTCCTGGCTTGGTAGCCTTCAAATGTAGGTGTTGTTATACACCGAACCAGGTCATCATATCTTGGTGTTATTTATCATTCTGTTATGAATATTTCATTTCTTTCTCTTGCTCTAAAATACATGTCTTAACAGATGTTGAAACATCTGTCATTACACCGTTATGAATTGGAGATATCAAATTGTTCTGGTCTACTATATTTTGTCCTTGTTTAAGTTATGCAGAGATCAATGTCTCGACATCTCTCGGGATATTTGTGATTTGTATACCAAACTTTCAGGCACTTAGTTGAGCATTTTAGTGTCAATAGATAAATAAAATGAGAACTCAAATATAATAAAATCAAAATCAAAATTGTATTATCATAATGAGAAACAAACTCCTCTGTGCAAAACTTACCTTATAGCTTTAGAATCCGGCTACAATGACAACGAGTAATACAAAATAGAAAAGAATGTATGCTCTACGTTTTGCAATAAAAACTTTTCCTACTTTGAGTGAAAATAAAGAAAGAAACATAGACCAATTAATGTCTTCAAAATGAAGTGTTTGTGGTTATGTGAAAAATTAACATTCGAATTTGAAGAAATGAGGGTTGTTTTAAAAGTATATCTGCTATATACCACATTAATATTGTTTTAATTCCAAGTAAAAAAAATTTAACAAAAAATCTGTGGGCAAAACCTGTCGGCCCCGCCTTCGGGCCGTTTTTAAAATGGGTTAGGTGGGGCGCGCTAACTTAAGACACCGAGCCGAAAATCTCGCTTCGGCCCGCCAAAAATAGTGGGTTAAACGGGAGGGTCTGTCGGGCCTAACCCATTTTGGCACCCGTACATGTAGGAATGCCATATTAAATTTGGGGTGACAAATTAAATTCTCTTATACTTATAATTGTCAAATACTCCTATCTTTATTAGGGATGTCAAAAAAACTGTACTCGTTGGTAAACCCCATCAGAGGCACGAGTTAGATAGCTTAATGGATATACACGGGTGAAATAAACGAATATTTAGCAACCCGTTTTTTTACGGATATGGATACAGATTTGGTGGTACTCGTACCCGCGTATATCCATATCTATAACTAGCAAAATTAATTAAAATTAATTTATTTGATCTAAAACTATTATTATTATTATATTAAATATGAAATTCTTACTTATTTTTCACTACATCCAGATGGCGATGCAGCGGCTTTTGTTCTTTTGACACTGTACTCAAGCCATACAACGTGTTGCTTACAGGCAATGACCTAACGTTCACATTATTTCGTAGTTGATACATGTCATAGAGATTCGATAAAGTTTTATGTTGGCTGTCAAAAGCCTAACACAACCCTCTCTTTTTATCCGGACTTAAGACCAACTATGTATAGCAACGCTAACATAATTTTTAATATTGTAAAATAAATTAATATAAAAAAAATAATATAATATTAAATAATTGAATTATAGGTACATATTCAACAAAAAAATTTAAGATATCATGATGTTCACCCATAAGAAAAATACAAATATAGGCAAAGAAATAAAGCATTCTAACCTATTTCAATAATTACCCACTTAAAAGAAATTTTACTCCAAACCATACAAAAAATAAAAATTGCTAAAATAACTTTTAAATTAGAGTATTGAGATATAAATCACAATTTAATTGAATTATACTGTTAGTATAAAAGAATTTTATCATGTCAGTTAATCATAGTTATTGAATGTTCAGAAGAGTTTAACTTTTATTTTAATCACTTATAAAATAAGATAAACGGATGATAGTGATAAATTTGACGGTGTAAAACTTTTTACAATAAAAGTGCATAGTAATTAATCTCTATCTTTTAAGTAACTTTCTATTAAAGTCAATTCAACAAATCTATTTTATTTAAAATCAAGTTTCATCACTTTTGATTCAAATATATGCTAAATATATCTCTCTCTCTGTCTTTTATAAAGATTGACAGCCATGAACCTAGAAGTATCTTTACAAAAAATAAAACATATCAATAGCCTAAAAATCTAAAGTGTCTCTAATTCTGGTTGAACTTTTCTAAAATGCAAATGGTGAATGTTATTGAATAGGAGGAGTAACATGAGTGTTTAGTTTTATCAAGCAAAGCTAAAGATGAATTATTAAGAACATCAACAATAAAAATCAGACAAACTACGCAAACTCGTCAAGTGTTTCCAAATCAAAATGGACACATAAATAGTTGTTTTTCAGCTAAGATAAATATAAATAATACCACTAGATATGCTAAGCCAAGAAACTTAGCTATGCAGGAGTAGTTGGCAGAGAAACTAGACTGTTATTGTGAAGCCATACTACAAATTCTCCCAACTCAATGTCCTCAATCTTTCTCAATTGTTTGGTCTTCACATTGTAACCAAAATGAATGTTTTTGCGCGAATGATTTTGATCTAGACTTACTCGAAAGATAATTTGATTGTTGATCCACAAACGAAAAGACACAATTGTATTATTAAGATCATGACCACAAGTGGCCATATAATCAAAAGGTCCCATCTCATGATAAAGAGTCCATATTCCTGAATCAAGATCCAAAATGTAGATTTCGTATGGTATCTGAGAAATTTCAGACACAATGCAAGAAAGGAAATCTCCCATCCATAAATATTTTGAAGTCATACCAAAACTCATGGCTCTGGCAGGAAGTGGATATTCTCGTACAATGATTTCCTTGTCAACATCCATCACAATCACTTCCCTTTCTGTTATCCAGTAAAGAGCATTGCCTCCGTTACATACAGGTTTCGATAATGTGTAGGAAAGAAGGGGAGCTTGTTTTCTAGCTATCTCTTTCCATGAGTGATCTATTCCAACTCTTAGCACATAGAAAACATACCAAGAAACGCCTGAAAATACGAGGACATCTACATAGAACACCTTCAATTTGGCAGTATGGGGAACACATGCTATAGTACAGTGATGGCTAACATGATAGCGAACAACATATCGAAATTGTCGAGAAACAGATAGTTGAGAAACAGGAAAAGAAGGAATTGTAAGCCAAGACTTGAGGACGGGGTTCGCAACAAAAAGTTGTTTAGCTGTACTCAAAAGAAGCAATATGCCATCACAAGTCCCAATTACATGTCCCATTTTTTTCGGTGTTGCCAAATCAATCCTTTCAAATTGGCCATTCACATCATCTTTAAATTCCAAGAAATAAGATCTTCTTTTTGACTTGCGATTTTGAACGTAAAGACCAGGTTTAGAACGTCCATGGAAGTGTTCGCAAGCTTCGGCAAAACGGGAGCTGGCAATAGCAGCAGCCCAAGGTTTGCATACATATCTGACAGAGTTAATCAAACAGTTAAGACGAACGAAAGTAAAAATATAAAACATCAAGTCTTGAGGGAGAAGCAGCCAAAGGTTGGCATGATCATCTGAGTTAGACTCTGAATCAGAGGAACTACACTTCGGGGTTATAACTATATCCATTTAGAATCACTGCATATAATATAAGCTCCAATAAACACCTTAATTAAACCATCAATATAAGTAAGAGTTTGTAAATTACATAATCAAAGTCCAAAAAGGACAGAAAGTATGCAGTTTGTAAAATCGAAGGGTCGGAAGGAAATGGTTGTGTAACTAAAATCAAAATTAGAGATAATTATAAGAAGTTATTTACCGTGTCAGTATTAGGGTCGTGTTCGAGAGAATGAGTTTGTGATACCTTCTGCTCCGCTTCTTGCCGCCGGCTATGTCTCTCTGCTTCTATTAGCTTGAGTGCAATTCCTTAATTTGTTTCGATAATTCTTCCTTGCGGTTGGGTCAACGTTGTTTTTTTAAGATTTTGTCCTACCACCTTTTTTTTCTCTTGTTGACTTAGCATTTCTATTCTATGTACAATTTTATTAAAATATTTCTAATAAAAAATTCGAATTTTTAAAAAAGAATTGTGATTTTTCGGATTTTTCTTAGAATATTTATTTGATTCTTAAAAACGGATATAAAGCATATATTTTAGAATTTTTTTTAAGATAACATTGTTTTTCAAATAAAATTTAAAAAAAATTACAAAAATTGTCATGTTTTGCAGAGAAGTAACAACTTGATAGGAGCTCCCCTTTTTTTGCCTCATGTCGCCCCACGGGGCGACATGGGGCAAAAAAGGGGAAAGAGAGAGATGGGGTTTCTCTCACTTTTGGCATTGTGGGCCCCTTCGGGGGCCCCACACAACGGGCTATTAGCTCAGTGGTAGAGCGCGCCCCTGATAATTGCGTCGTTGTGCCTGGACTGTGAGGGCTATCAGCCACATAGATAGTTCAATGTGTTCATCGGCGCCTGACCCTGAGATGTGGACCATGTCGTCATATGAAATGGGTACTCAAGTCTGGAAGATCTGATTCGTCATTTCATATGGCGCATGGGTTAGGATACCCTACATTGAGTCGCCATACCATATGACGCATCTCATGTAGGAATTTTTTTTGTTTTTTATTTTATTTTAATTTTTAATATTTGCTTTAAAAACCTTATTAAAACTATTTGCTATATTTTTTAATTATAATATTTAGTAGAAACTAAAGCAAAGGTTGGGTTCAAAGCTGGTATTAAAGATTATAAATTGACTTATTATACTCCTGACTATCAAACCAAAGATACTGATATCTTGGTAGCATTCTGAGTAACTCCTCAACCTGGAGTTTCTCCTGAAGAAGCAGGTGCAGCAGTAGCTGCAGAATCTTCCACTGGTACATGGACAATTGTGTGGACCGATGGACTTACCAGCCTTGATCGTTATAAAGGACGCTGCTACGAGATCGAGCATGTTCCTGGAGAAGATAATCAATTTATTGCTTATGTAGCTTATCCCTTCGACCTTTTTGAAGAAGGTTCTGTTACTAACATGTTTACCTCCATTGTAGGTAATGTATTTGGGTTCAAGGCCTTGCGCGCTCAGTTATTTTATCACTTTTATTTTTGTTTTTTTTTTAAATTTTTAATATTTGTTTTAAAAATTGATATTTGATATTTTTAAAACATAATAAATATAATTCATGATATTTTAAATTTTTGATTTTTGATATTTGTTTAAATCCTACATTGTTAATTTTTTATATTTGATATTTGTTGGGAAAAAATATATAAATTTTGTAAGGGTATTTAAGGCATATCATATGTAACCCGAACTATTTTATTTTTCTATAAATAAGACTGCACACTCATATAATTTTTCACAACAATTTTTATCAATAGCCTCAAATCTTCATAATTTTAAGTTCAGTTTAGAATGTCTGCATTTCTAAATCAACGTTCATCGTCGTCGTCATCACCATCGGAGGAACCGTTTCCAACATTTTCTCTAATGAAAAGAAACGCCCTAGTTTATTTTTCAGCAATAAAGCCTCCGATGAAGGTGCTACTGTGGAACACGCAGACTTTGAAACATTTGCATAGGGAACTGAACCGCTGGCTAGAAGGAGATATTCCTGCAAGTGAAAAGATTAGAAAAATTGAGGGGTTGGTTGAGGAGTCAGGGAGAAACAGAGTTACTCGTGATTGAAGAAAAATGGAAAACGATGCTAGTGTCCTTGTGATAATGTTAACACCAAAGAAGATAATGTTGATGGTTGTGATATCCTAGAAAACTAGATGAATTGTTCTGTTTTATGTGGGTTTGTTGTTGTTATTTTCGGAATGTTGTTGTGATATTAAGTTATGTTTGTTTAATTTATGTTGTTTGCTAATTGTAATCACTTACCTATACTTTAAATGGAATGAAATTTGTTGTTGATTTAAAAGGACACGGTTACATTAGAAACTATGATCTTGTGTTTGATCGTACATTAGGATATTTTGTACAATTGTGTCCTGGTTGCTGACACGAACTACATAATCTGACCATCTTGTTTGCTACATCCATCTCCGTTCGAATGCGCGTGCTATTAGGGCGACCCTTTTTATTTCTTCGCATCATTCATTATACTAGACAATTTCGCCTTCGTATGGAGGCCAATAGTCCTCCTTTACCACCATTTGAAAGCTACATGTGTAGACATTGCATAGACTTATCACTTGGTGAACAGTAGAAAGATAGTTGGTTGGGTCTTGACGCGCCTTCGAACATGCTACTATAACATGAGAGCAAGGCATACGAAATGCCTGAAACTTTTCACAGTCACACCAACTTCTATCTAGTTCCACTCGGTAACATCCTCTAGGCCTTCCTTCATTATAATCAATTGACTCGGCAACACTGAACCAACCTTTATTATGGTCAAAGATTGTGAACACATGTGTGTTGGCTTTGGCAGCTTCGTCTTTCTTGAATGTTGTTGAACTATTATTGTACAGCTGACCAAATTGTAATGCTGAACCCCACTTCGTACATCTGTTATCAAAGAGCGCCCTGAGCCTAAAATATGTTTCCTTTACCAAGGCAGTTATCGGTAGGTTTCGGATTCCCTTGAAAACAAAATTCATTGATTCAACGAGGTTAGTTGTCATGTGGCTCCATCGCACCCCATTGTCGTATGCTCGTGTCCATTTATCTTTATCAATATTATCAATCCATCTTAATGCATTTGTTTTATCAGTCTGATCTCGTCATGGTAGTGTTTGAATCTGGGATCTGTTGTGCATATCCTGCGTTCACAACCTTCTTCCTTAGTGTTTTGTCTTTGATTTCCCGCATGAAATTTTGGGCGATATATCTTATGCAATACACATGGGTTGAGGGAGGATCTTGCCAACCGTTATCAAGGTTCTTGTATGCACTATTGATTGATGGGTGTCTATCAGAGGTCAAACATAAGTTAGGTTGGGGAGAAACGTAAAAGCGGAGATTTTTTAGGAAAAACTCCAACCCTCAACAGTCTTCCCTTCAATTATAGCGAAGGCTATTGGAAAAATGTTATTGTTCCCATCCTCTGCCACAGCCATGAGTAGCGTGCCCTTATATTTCTCGTACAATCATGTGCCATCAACTTGAATTATAGGTTTACAATAATCAAAACCTTTGATACATGGTTCAAACGCCCAGAAGAGTCTGTAAAAAATGTCATTTCCACTAACGCAAGTCCCGTCTGGTGTATACGTCAAAATTGTCTCCAATATGGAAACAGTCCCTAGAGAATATTCTTTAAGAGTCACCAAGAATTTTAGAATTTCTTTGCAAGACTCCTCCCAGTTTCGAAACATCCTTTCAATCGCTTTAGTCTTGGCTATCCATGCTTTCCGGTATGAAGGAGTGTAATTGTACCTTTGAACCATATGTGAAATTATGGTACTCACCTTCAAAGACGGGTTGTCGCTAATAACCGATAGAATCTCATTGCAAATCAATTGAGAGTTGAGCTTGCGATGGTCCTGCATCGGATTCCTGATTATACAAGTGTGGGTTGGACCCATTGACCTTATCTTCCATGAATCACTTCTCTTCTAGAAAGACGCTGTTAATCAGAACAGACACACCTCGTTACGACAATAGATCTTAAATAGAGTCGTATTTGTTCGATCGACTCTATACTCTGCTAATAAGTCCATGTGATATTGTTTAATTGCTCAAACAATATTCTTTTGTACGAAACTCGTCGCCCTCTTTTAATAGTCCTTCTGTTGCGTAGTTAGGGTTGTAAAAAATATCTGTTGAGGGTTCATCGTCACCTAAGTCGAAAGTTTTCATGTGTTAAGGTGGGAAATAAACATGACTGGGTGGAACCCCCTCTTCCTCGTTGTTTACCATGTCGTCAACAATGACTTCAACTACTTCTTCTTCTTCATCAATGGCATCGACTTCAGCGTGTTCCTCATTAGATTCGTAAAAAACTTGAGAAGAATCAAGTTGTTGAGACAGTTGTTATTGTTGTAACATAACATATAACGCAATATCTGAGAAACCGGAATACTCATGACTGCGGAACATGCTACACACATCTTCATCGTCTCAAATCTTTAATGGGAAAATTTTGCATTGATCGTGCCCGCCAAAGAACACAGGACTCTTGTAGATTATTTGGCCAACTGGACCATATTGTAATTTCTTTTCTAATCTCGACCTCAAGTGTAAAAAATTTGACCTTCTGTCAATCAAAAATTTAGTAACATCAGTATTTCAAAAATTGAAACCGGCTAAGTTACATTCAAAAACCTCACCGTTTAAATGTGCACTAATCATGTATTGTGGTGTTTGAGCCATAGCTAAAATTTTAGTAAACTTGTGTTTGAAGAGATTGTTTTACTAATTGATATGATAATAAATCAACTATCTCTACTGCATTAATAGCAATAAAATATTGCTTTTTATTATTACATCTGGAAGGTGAGTTGCATGACAAGACTAAACCCTGCTATCGTCTGCACTCTGCATGCCTACCGTCTGCACTCTGCATGCCTACCCTTTACACTCTGATTCTATGTATACCTACAAGATTCTTACTAATAAATGTATACACACGACTACAGTATTAGTCTGCACTCTGTATGCCTATCGT